CAACCTGGCTAACACTGTCTGACCCACCTTGGAGATGCTCAGAGGCTCTGCCTTACCCAACTTATGGACCCACCCAAGCTGCTTTTCCATATGAATGGCTGGTCTTGGCTCGTGCTTCACAACTTCCAGAATCATATTAAACAAACAATAGCTGGCTTCAGTGAGCCCCAGGCCTCTCACTGGCAGCAGCCATCTTAGATTCACAGCTTGGCTCTGCCTAGGAATCTCTCAATTCAGTACAAGTAGCAGCCATCTCATTTTGCTTCATAGTGCAGAAGGGGTTCCCCAGGCCAAACACAGGTGGGGGTTGGCCTTGGCCTGCACTACCCAGGAAAACCCAGGGCTAACATACCCAGTGGACAGCTACAGACCACGTTGGGGCACCACCATCCTGCCCATGCACAGCAGATCCTTCACGGAGGGTGAAGGTTGGTGGTCAGTGGTCACAAGCAGTCCCCTCACCTGACTGGTCTGGGCAAATCTCTCCCATTGATCTGCCAGCAGCAACAAAATCTCAACTACAAGAGTAAGGTGTACTCAGCTTACACAAAGGGTGCACCTTGAATGCCCAGCATGGGTGACAAGAGAGGCTGTGCCACTGGACCCTACGAGACACTAGCTACATTAAGACACACTACCAAGTCACAGAGTCAAAGCAGCTCTACCTAATACATAGAAACAAATACAGGGAGGCTGTCAAAGTGAGGAAACAAAGAAGCATGGCCCAAATGAAAGAACAGTTCAAACCTCCAGAAAATAGCTAAACAAAATGGAGATAAGCAATCTATCAGATGCAGAGTTCAAAAGACTGGTCACAAAGGTGTTCAAGGAACTTAGTGAGGACCTCAACAGCATAAAAAAAGCCAGACAGAAATGAAGGATATACTAATTTAAATAAAGAACAATTTACAGGGAAACAACAGTCGAGTGGACAAAGCCAAGAATCAAATCAATGTTTTGTAACATAAGGAGCCAAACAAACAAACAAAAAACAATCAGAACAACAAGAAGAAAAAGAAGCCAAAAAAAAAATGAAGATAGTATAGGAAGCCACTGAGACAACTTCAGAAGATCCAACATTCACATCATAGGGATCCAGAAGGAAAAAGAGCAAGCAAGAAACTGAAAACTTATTTGAAAAACCAATGAAAGAAAACTTCCCTAATTTGGTTAAGTAAATAGACAGGCAAGTCCAGGAAGTGCAGAGAATCCCAAACAAGATGTTGCAAAGAGCCCATTCCAAGGTATACCATAATTAAAATGCCAAAGGTTAAAGATAAAGAGAGAATCTTAAATGCAGCAAGAGAATAGCAGTTAGTTACCTACAGGGGAGTTCTTATAAGACTATCAGCTGATTTCTCAACAGAAACTTTGCAGGCTACAAGGGATTGGCAGGAAATATTCAAAGTCATGAAAAGCAGGGACCTACAGACAAGATTGCTCTATTCAGCAAAGCTATCATTTAGAATCAAAGGGAAGATAAAGAGCTTCCCGGACAAGAAAGTATTAAAAAACTTGATTATCACCAAATCATTATTATATGAACTGTTAAAAGGACTCATTTAAGAAAAAGAACATCAAAACCATGAACAATAAAATGCAATAAATACATATCAACAATTGAACAAAGCAAACAAGAGGAGAGACATAGATCATGGATAAGGAGAACATTTTGATGGTGGCCAGATGGGAACACCATGGAGGAGAATGCGTGGGGAAAGGAGGCTCTGCCTCACCCATGGAGAGGAGAGGGGATTAAGAAGTACAGAGAGGTAGTTACAGAATAACCATGGAGATGTAAAGCACAGCATAGGAAATGGAGTAGCCAAAGAAGTTAGGCACATGATCCATTGATATGAGCAATGGTGGGGGGATTGCCTGAGGGAGTGTGGGGTGCTGGGTGGAGGAGTACGAATGGGGAAAAATCAGGACAACTATAATAGCCAGTCAATACAATACAATTATATAAAAAAGAAAACTGTATTAAGAATACAAAATAAATGTACAAAAATTTGTTGCATTCCTGTATACTAATAATGAAACATTCAAAAAAGAAATAAAGGAAACAATTCCATCCATAATGGCTACAAAAATGATAAAATACCTAGAAATAAACTTAACAGAAAAAGTAAAGGACCTATATACACTGAAAACTACAAGACGTTGTTGAAAAAAAATTGAAGTAGACATAAGATACCATAAAACAGGAAGGGTCAGAGCACAAGAAATAACACTTTAAACATAAGATATGATAGTAGAAAGAAATAAACTGCACAAAGATTTTATTAGGTAAGGTTAAGGAAATATCACCAAAAGTAGAAGTAAAATGAAGATGAAAAATGTAGTTTCTAATTGGAACTTCAGTAAATAGGATAGTCCTTCAAAATCCAAGAAATTATGAATAGTTTACCAGGTGCAAAACTCTTTAGAAACTCTCAAAATGATAAAGAGCTAATGGAAATAGTTTTTTAATGTTTCTATTAGTCACTTTCTCCAGTTTCACTGAGCTATAATTGACACATAACATTGTACAGTCTTAGATGTATAACATGATGATTTAATATATATATAAAGAAAATTTCTAAAAACAGAGTAGAAATTAGGAGGTTGAAGAAATATTCAGGCACCAAATTTTGTAGGACATTTTTCTCCTTCAGAAGATATGGCAGATGTTGTGAAAATCTATTTTTGATGGAGATTTTGACTGAGGAGTCATGCAGTTTCTCCTCAATAAACTTTGACGAAAATTTAGCTTTTGACGTGCCAAGATCCTGTGACACTTTGTCTAAGCCTGTTGGTGTTCCATGAAGTCTGAGTGTCTACTTTTTAGAGATTTTTCTCTTCACACTTTCAAGTCTAAGGCCTTGGCAGCTTCAACACCCTTCCAAGGTGACCACCATCAATCTCCCTTGATCACGGTTTCCATCTCAAACGGCTGCGGGGTGAAGGAGAGAGCAACACTCACAGCAGTTGTGTGCCATTGCTCCTTGCAGTCACTAATTAGGTAAAGCTCACACAAAATGCAGTTGAAGAATGTTGACCCCGAAACATCAAGTTCAGAAGCAAAATCTGAACTATACTGGCATTACACACTGCCTAAGGCAAAAAACTGATTCAGTAATATACCCCAGGTTGGTCTTGGCCTTTGGTTTTGCAAGATTTTCTTGTTGTGTAGGATCTAAGCAAATCAACTAGTACATTTTTAGACCCGCAAAATGTATACAACAAAAAATGGCATATGCCTTGCAGACTTCTGAAAATTTTTGTGCCTTACTTTATTTTTGATTAGTATCTTGAAATGCATTACATTTTTACAACTCTTAAAAATGCTCCCAGTGTTGTTACCACAAAGGAATTTTCATTCTAAAAGAGGAAAAGCTACTTTTTTCACATTATAATTCTGTGAGGAAGAGAAGTGTTTCTTTTCCAATCAATGTTTCTTAATTTTATTTCAAACAATATTTTCTGTGAAATACATTTATCTACATAATTTCAAGAATTTTCTTCCCCTGCCTTTTCATGTCGGTTTTATCCACTCTTATTTCCTTCAAAATAACAAATAAAACACATATTTTATTACTCACCAAATATGGTCACAGCCTTTGGTAAATGAGAGAACAGCTATTAGCAAGGCTGATAAAATTCAGTTCACGCTGGCTGGACAGAAAACACAGAATGAACTGGTTTTTCTGAAGTAGGTTTGTGGCCTAAGGGCTGCTTTAAATAGGGTTCCTGGGTTGTTGAGGTATTTTCTGGTTATGTTTTGGAATGGGATTAGCCCCGTGCTTCAACTCATCTCCTAATGTGATTCTTAACATTCAGAGGGGATGTCTGGCAGCAGCATTACCTTTGTCATAGTTACAGCAAAGGGGAAGAAGATACATGTCTTATTCTTTAGTAATTTTGTGCATGGATTGAGATCATGGTGACTTCACAATTGCATCCTATTGTCTCAAAGAAATAAAAGATGGAAACTCATCTTCACAGACTCACTGGCATCAAGCTAGAGCCTGGCCGAGACTCCAATAATCGGCTTCTTAAATTTTCAGCAGCCTTGTTTATTCACATCCCACTGCACAATGCCTGTAATTATCTAGGACCTGAACTTTTTAGCTAGTACTCTACACTATTGTCACTTAAGAATGAAAATTAAATTTCTCCCTCATCAGTGACAAAATACATTTAGAGATATTAGAGACAATTACATTGAGGCTGGTGGCTATAGCTCAAATGGCTGAGTCCCAGCTAGTCCTGAGTACCTGCAGAAACACGGCTTGGTCCACTGGAATCCATCACTAACTAACTCTGTCACTTACTTTACAATCTCTCCAAGACTCTGTGTAAGTCTCCTCGCAAACCAATTTGTACGGTATCTGATGTCAAGGAGTTCATAATTCATATATCTGATCTCGGCCTTTCAGTGTATGCTGAGTAAGAAAAGACTAGCCATTTAGTTTATGCTACCTTATTTTGAGAGTTTTTAAAAAATTTTAGGTAACTATTTTAAAAATGCCATCACAAACATCTCTGCATCCACAATCAAGTAAAAATTACTAACATTGTTCATTCATATTTACACCACTTTTATTAAGTAAACAAAGAAAATCATATAAATGGAATTTGTTTTAGAGACCCACTTCCATTCCTTTCCTGTCCATTCCCCTGCACCAGCAAGTACAGTCATCAGTTTAGCGAGACGAGCGTTCTCATATCCTCCAGGCATTTACAGTACTGCCAGCATCTGCATCTCTTCGCCTTTGCTCTCTTGGATCAATAGAGACTACCTACCACTGTGCAGCAGAGCAGAAGTCTCAAGAAGGAAGCTACTCCTGGCCTCACCCCTATGCTGAAGCCCTTAACAAGTGACTGATGGAAGTTGGTGTCCCTGGTCCTTAAATGAGACCTCAAAAGTGACTGTTCCACCCAGTCTTCCAGAATTCTCCAGCAGGACTGTGCGCATCCACCATACTTACAGTAGTGATTTACGTGACAACACTTACTTTATTGGCTTTCTTCTCTTCCTGTTTCACTTCTCCACTCCCCTGTTGGGATTCTTGTGGATCACCTCCCAAATGTGCTGCCTGAACTTACAGCGGTGCCTCAGAGTTTGCTTCTGCATACCCCAAATGGCAATACTGCCAATCTCTGTTAACATAGAAGAAGAAGAATGCTTATTCACTGTAAAATCCATTGAATAAACATACATCTATGCATTTCCTTTGGCTGGTCACTTAGGTTAAGTCTATTATTTTGCTATTAAAAAGGAGGCTGCCTCGAATCGCTTGAATCGCTTTGCATCCCCCTTCCAGAACACATCAGTTTCCCTCCAGAAGACACCCTTATGTGGCATCATAGCTTAGTCACAGCATGCACATCACTTTATCAGATATTGTCATTTTATGCTCCCAAATATCTCACACATTTTTATGCCAGTGACAATAGATTTCATGGGATTTAAAAGTTTTTGTCAGTCTTGTTTTGTTTCTTCATAGTTCTTCAAAGAATCAACAAATCAATATTGACCATTTGTTTAGGACTTACAAGTGAACTGAGGACAGTGGAGAGCACAGAAAACTGTCCAAGAAACGAGAAAAGTTAGAATCAGAAACAACTCAACAGATACAAATATATGTATGCATGTGTAATATTTATATTATATAAGTAGTATGTGTTCTATAACTAGGCAATATAACTGTGTAAATATGTATGTACCTATCTGTAAATCTATGTATTCATATAAACTATATGTCTTTGTCATGGATAATATACTGAATATGCCCCTTAGGTAGAATCAGAAAGTATAGGATATGAAATTTCCATTTTCCTAGAACAGTTCACTTTTAAAGAGTTAAATACAATATTTTCAAATAGTGATTCATTTGTTTATACAGACTCCTGTGAAGTCCTCTTATTACCTGGGTAATTGTGACTAGAAGGGAACTAACACTGGGAAATTCAGGGTAGATAAGGAGTAGGAGGAGCTGCTGTGAAACCCAGAATTATGAGAGATGTGGTAGAAAACAGTGGTGAATGGGCCTGAAAAACAACCCCTGCAGCTGGGCCCAGGGTCAACTCTATCCTAAATAATGATAGTAGTAGTACCGGTGGTATAGTCTCGCATTTCTTGTTTTTATTTTCTGGAAGCTTCTTCAAATTATGAAAGTATTGCTGTACTAGAACCCAAAACACTGTTTTAGGGAAGATTTTTATTAGCTTACCTTTTCATGTGTAAACAAGGCTATATAAAATAAAACATACAGTCCATATACCCCTAACATTCACATATTCCACTGAACTTCTAACTAAAGAAAATTGGCAACAGATGAATTCAAATGAAACTTGGGAAACTTAGGGAATGGATTATCTACACTGGATGATTTATCTGTGAATAATCAAGAATAGACAACAGAGGAATACTTATATAACATTTGGATAAAACATAATCCTCTATACATGAAAACAATATATGTGTATCTGACATATAAAATAATAAAAAATCAATTTTTAAAGCACTAGCTTTATTTGCATTTATTTACTAGCATTTGGCTACCCTTGTCTTCTTAAGAGTTTGGATTTATTTTAACCCTCAAGAATATCTAAAGCTAATCTTTACTACAAACACCTAGAGTTGGGGGTTTGATTTGGAATGCTTGCTTAAGTACTGATAATGTGATGATCATACAACTAAAGCCTTCCACATTTATTATTCATTTTTTAAAATTTATTGTTGTTCACTTAAAGTCATCCCACCTTTTTCCCCATTGCTTGCCTCTACCTTGCTCCCCCATACTCACAATCAATCCCTCCCCATTGTCTGTGCCCATGAGTCCTCTATGTGTGTTCCTTTGCTCGCCCCTTCCCGATTCCTCCTTTTGAAGCTGCATATGCATCTGAAGCTTTTCAGCCTCAACTTGTTCTTTATTTCCAAGTCTCTGGTTCTATTTTGCTCATTTGTTTTGTTGATTAGGTTCCACTTATGGGTGAGATCATATGGTATTTGTCTTTCACCACCTGGCTTATTTCACTTACCATTTATTATTCATTTTATCTAAACTTATAAATGTGTGAAGGTGACCAACCATGACAAGATTTAAAAGTCCTTGAACAACAATTTTAATTCCATTGGAAATAATTAAAATAAACTAAGTATACATGTAAACATGAAAATTTCTACATATTCCATTGATGGGTTAACTGTTGAATAGTGGATTATTTGCAAAATTAGTTGTGCATATACACCTGTAAGAGACAAAAAAAAAACCCCTACCATGGTAATTTGAATAAGAAATTCATCTTTAAAAATACGTAGGATATCTTTAGATTAAAAACCTAAGTAAAATACAGTTCATTCTTTATTAAATATTTTAGACATTTCCTTAAAGATGAATTGAAGAGTATAGCCTATTAATATTAATATATAAAGCTGATTTCTTTAGAAATCAAAGTTTCAAATATTTATCACACTGAAAAATCAATCAGTAGAGAAATATATTAGTGAAAAATAATTAGCAATCCAGACATGTAAAGTAAATAATTATTAAAAGCAGGTTGAAGAATTTTGTCAGTCTCTAAGTAATTAAAATGAAAATAAACTAAATATATTGACATTTGTACATATATACCTAAGACACATCTATGTGCCTGCATACAAATACATATACACAGGCTCTTGAAGATGGACTTTGAAAAACTCTCTGCCGGGATCACCTGCAGGCTTTTCCAGCTGATTGCTGCTCAAGGGAGAGAGTCTAGGGAAACCCAATCGACCCGATCCAATTTAGATATGCAAATTTTATCTTGTGTGCTTGAAAGGAACATTACGGCACTGCACAATTTGCATTTTCCCTTGTAAGATATAATATTTCTAATCTAATAAAAACATCCCTCCATCGGCCACTTTAACACTCACCACATTTTATGCAATCCATTGTTCCCTTTCACTTTTAAACTATCCTTTCATATTTGAAACTATCCAATTAGTTTATTAAGAACAGATAAATATATTATGGAAGCCAGTCTCCCCACAAAAGAGGGAAAAATTGTAAGTGGTAATTAATTGGTAACTTATGACATAATTTGAGAGAACAGACAAAAAGAGTCCTTGGAAGAAAAGAAAGAATCACATTATTTTATGCCAAATACACTTTTCCTGATGAGTCTGATGAAAAGTGAGATTTTGAAATGAGAACTAGATTTTTTAAATTAATAATATATTTTCATAGAAAGATATGACACTCCACTAAGGTTTTGTTGATTTAGTTAATGAGCTTTGAAAAATCACTTTAAGAAAGTGACTATTGGGTTAAGATCTATCTGTAAGTCATGTTTTTATAGTAATCTTTTTCTCATTACCAAGACAAGTAGGTAAATGTCCACATTGTATTAATACTAATAATATAAAAATTTCAACCTTCAAGTAGGAAAAATAAATTGTACATCTGCCCTCAGAGTAAAGCTTCTATGTCATTTCTACTAATATTTCTGTCAAAATCATTTATACATGGAAGAATTTAAATAAGACCAAGTTTCATTCAGTAGACAAGATACTATGAAATTTCTCTTCTGAAAGTAGTATCACTTCTCCCATTGACTCTCAGTCATACTCATTTCCCTTTGTGTTATCCAAGCTGGAGAATGTAGGAGGAAGAGCAATTGGGAGAGAGCCCCTTTTTGGCCGTGTAGAGTATGCAGAGATGTGGGAGAATAATAAAAGTAGACAACTGGATAGACAACTCTGGTATACAAAATAGGTGCTAAAATGGAAGATTTTGGGACTTTAAAAAAAGTGCATTTCAAGAAGTTCATGCTTACTCCCTCCCCCCGCCCCAAGCAGTAAAGAATTCATTAGGAAGAAAGTTACAAATTTTATGTCTTAAGTTTGCCCTTTCTTCTTCAAGCTAACTTCCATTACCTTGGCTTTGGACCCACTAACCTCAGAAACGGCCTTTTATCTCTAAAACAACTCTCTGAAATACCGTTAAAAAGCTTCTGCTAAAACCATGCTAAGTGAAATAAGCCAGTCAGAGGAAGTATCATATGATTTCACTCATATGTGTAATCTAATGAACTGAAATAACAATCAAAATAGAGGCAGACTCATAGATGGAGGGCAGATAACAGCTCTGTGGATGATGGGGGTGGGTGGAGGGGTGGAGCAAAGACAAAGTGCTCACAGATGCGGACAACAGTGTGGTGACTGGTGGAGGAAGGGAGTGGGTGGAGGTGGCAGAGGGTATGAGGGGATAAATGGTGATAGAAAAACTTATAAAGAAATAAATTAACTATATTTTAATGCAGAAATGTAATGTTTTTCCCAAGCTAAAACATGTCCCATGGTTTCTTCTTGTCTTCAGGAAGATTTCTCTACATTTTAGCATCTTCATCATGTTACTCTCATCCACCTCTATCTAGGGCGCCATTTCCTGGGTTCCCCCTCACACACAAAGGCTGCACAAGACTGTAGTTCCTGCAGTGTGATGTTCAAGCTCAGACCTCTGTGTCTTTACTCACAACATCTCCTCTTTCTGAAAACACTCTTACCACCTTCTTCTGTGCCTGGCTTACCTCTTCTTATACTGTAGAATTCATATCAATTTTTCTCATTTAGGGGTCCTTTCCTCATCTTTCCTAATTTTTAGATTGAGTTTCACAACCCATGCATGGGGCTTTGTGAGTTATGCTCTGTCCAGGTTCATAACTCTTTTATTTTACTCATTTGTACATTCAAGGAGTTGGTATTGTTTTTCTACATCAGTGTCACAGCTCCTCAGAGAGGTCTACACATGATAAGCACTCTGGGTATCTGGTTTAATTGAGTTGAATTAGGATTTCCACACTGAGTGTTCAGCTGATAAATCATCAGTCAGGAATTGAATCTTATGGATATGGGAAAGAATACAGTTTTTTTATTGCATTTATAACTAATTTCCAATAGTCTTCTATTTATTTTCTTTATATTACTCAGTTATGTTCCTTATTTTTTTTATTTTTAAAGGCCATAAACTAGCAACACTCATTACTCCAATATTCCCAAACCTTACCTACTAAACCATGAGGAAAGAAAGG